CAGAAATACAACTGCGACAAGATGATCTGCCGCAAGTGTTATGCTCGCCTGCATCCCCGTGCTGTCAATTGCTGCAAGAAGAAGTGTGGGCACACCAACAACCTGCCCCAAGAAGAAGGTCAAATAAGAGCCCTCTCTTCACTGGCTCCCTTGCCTCTTGCAGGTGGCCTTCTTCTGAGCCCCATGACCCTGGGCCCTCAATAAAGTCTCTTTCATTGAACTGAAAAAAGAAAAAAAGAAAGAATTGTTAAAACAACTGTTATTCAAATGTATGTACCAGTCACTAAAGCCAAAGATAAAGAAACTGAAAATTTCTATCAACTTTCGCAATCTGAAATGGAATTGCGATCAAGATGCATTAATGATAATTGGTGATTGGAACGTAAAAGTTGAAAACAACATAAAAAAACATGGTTTTGGTGAGAGAAATGAGTCCAGAGATCAACTCAAAATTTTATACAATAAAAAAAATTTATACAAGGAATTATTTTTATCTTAAAAAAAATACATGGTGACTATACACATGGATTTCACCTGATGGACATGCAGTTCATTTTACTACATCTGTAGAGAGAGTTGACCAAGAAACTCAGTAGTCAAAACAAGGCCCTGGGCAGAGTGGAACAATCAATTAACTATGTGCAAGTTCAAATTGAAGCTGAAGAAAATATAAACAAGTCCACAAGAATAAAATATATAACCTTGAGTCTATCCCAATTGAATTAAAAACCATCCCAAGAATAGATTTGGCGCGTTGAATGCTAATATTACATGCGGTCAAGTTGAAGTGATTCATGCTGACCCTTCAGTGAGTTTTCAGAGACTGTAAATTGCATGAGAGGAGTTTGCCCACCTTTCTCCAATAGAGCAGCTGGTATTTTAAACTGCTTGCTTTTGAGCTAGTAGCAAAACTCCTTACTCTCTAGGCAACGATATATGTCAAAATGTATTTCTCAGTTGAAATGTTTCAACAAATAGATACAGCCCTGGATGTGTTCACTAGTACAGGCCAAGAAATCTGAAGGACAGCTACCTTGCCAACTCACTGGAAAAGATCCATATTTGTTCCATTAAAAAAAAAAAAGGTGGTCTAGTAGAATCTGGAAATTGTCAGTATCATTAATATCACAATCAAGTAAAATCTTTCTGAAGATTATTTTTATTTTTTTTTAATTTTTTCAAATATTTTTTATTGGGAAAAACATATTGGGGGTACAAGGAGGTGAGGGTTGGGGCAGAAGGGTGAGGATGGGCCAGGATGCA